CCAGACAGCCCCTCACTGCCCTGTGTGCTGTGATTGTTGGTCTCTGGCCCCCGGCCCCCGGGGAGGGCATCAGGCCAAGGCATGTGGGATCCTAGCAAATGACTTTAACAGCATTAATAACGTGACTGAGATGTAATTTACATACTTGTAATCCACCCACGGGAGCGCGTGTCTCCGCGATTGTCGCTGCACTCGGGTACCTGCCCTGGTGCGGAGCAAGGATAGAGTGCTTCCCCTCCTGTTGGAGGTCTGGCGGGTCGCAGCCAGGGAAGCCTCCAGAAGTCTCACGGCCGCCCTTCCTGTTAGAGGATAAACCAGTGGACAGCCCAGCCGGCTGAGCTCCAAGGTGTCGCCCCGTCTCTGCACAGGGGGTGGGGCCTGGCTCGGGTCTGGCTGGCGCCTCCTGCCCGCTGTGGCCGCAGGTCGGGCTGTGCCTGGATGGGCGGAGGTGACCGGGCTCCGGGGGCCTGTGTGTGAGGTAGCCTGTGTGTGAGGTAGGCGTGGCTCCCGCAGCCGAGGTGGGGGTGGGGGTCACAGGCATGAAAATCCGGACGAGCTTCTCTGGCTGCCGGAGCGGAAGGCCGTGAACCTGAGGACTTTCTTCTCTCCCTTCCTAGGAAGCCGCGGGTCGGAGTGAGTCTCACAGGCTAAGATCAGGGCCTTGGCAGGCGGCTCCTTCTGGAGACGTCAGGGCAGAGTGATTTTCTTTTCTTTTAAATTTATTTTAATTAGTTTATTTTTAAGGGAACTATTCTTTTTTCTTTAAATGAATATAACTTGTCAAATTGGTTTCTGTACAACACCCAGCGCTCATCCCAACAAGTGCCTTCCTCGGTGCCCATCCCCCACTTTTCCCTCCCCCCACACAACCCCCCCTCCCTCAGTTTGTTCTTTGTATTTAAGAGTCTCTTATGGTTTGCCTCCCTCCTTCTTTGTTTGCAACTATTTTTTTCCCCTTCCCTTCCCCCATGGTCTTCTGTTCAGTTTCTCAAGATCCACGATGAGTGAAAACATATGATATCTGTCCTTCTCTGCCTGACTTATTTTACTCAGCATAATACCTTCCAGTTCCATCCATATCGCTGCAAATGGCCAAATTCCATTCTTTCCCATTGCCAAGTAGTACTCCATCGTATATACAAACCACATCTCCTTGATCCATTCATCAGTTGATGGACATTTAGGCTCTTTCCGTAATTTGGCTATTGTTGACAGTGCTGCTATAAACTTTAATTTTTTTAAGTTTATTTATTTTTGAGAGAGAGAGAGCAAGCAGGGGAGAGGCAGAGACAGAATCGGAAGCAGGCTCCAGGCTCTGAGCTGTTAGCACAGAGCCTGATGCGGGGCTTGAACTCATGAACTGTGAGATCATGACCTGAGCCGAAGCCAGATGCTTAACCTGCTGAGTCCCCGAGGTGTGCCGAGAGGACTGCGTGCGTGCTCTCCCTGGCGCCGGCCCTTCTCGGTTCCGTGCCTTGTTCCAGCATCATCCCAGGTCAGGCTCCTTCATTCGTCTTATGTACAAAGTCCCTTTTGTGGGGCAAGGGGACACAATCCTGGGTCCCAGGGACGAGGACGTGGACGCCTGGGGGACATTCTGCTGCCCACCACACTCTTACCCAAGCCTCTCCCACCTGCTCCCCTCACCTCGTCTTGCTGGCGGGGCTGGTGGCCTTCCCTGCGCTTGCCTCCTCCTCCCTCACCCTTGCCTCTGCGCTTGCAAGGGACGTGCTGTTAGTGGTGGATGCGTTGTGTGTGCTGTTTCATCAGTCGATGGGCACTTGTGTTGTTTGGCTATTGTGACTAACCCTGCTATGAACACGGATATACACGTTTTTGTGCGGACACGTGTTTCCGTGTCCCTTGGGCGTATTTCTACGAGCAGAATTGCTGGGTCACCTGGTAAATTCTACGTGTAGCTTTTTGAGGACCTGCCGGACTTTTCCACGGTGGCCGCCCCATTTTGTGTCGCCACCAGCCACGTGTCAGGGTTCGGATTTCTCCACATTCTCACCGATATGTGTTATTGTCCGTCCTCTTTCTGATGGCCTCCCTGCTGACCAGGGGCTCCATGGGATTGTCAGCTATGTGTGCATTTTCATCGAAGAAACGTCTGTTTGAATCCTTTGCCCATTTTCTTACTGTCCGTGTCTTTTTATTATTAAATTGCTAGAGGGCCCGCTTTTCGGCATGGCACTGACTTGTAAAGAACGTACCGCTCTTTCTGGACTGTTCTGTAAGCTTCCTCAGGGTGGCCCTCTCCCCCCACCGTGTTTCCAGTAAACCAAAGGTTGGCCCAGGGCTGCTGTTTGGTGAAATTCCTTTTTCATTTCTTAAGTACGCACACGTAGCGTCTTTATTTGCCTTCTTTTGAAGAGCGTGTCAAGGGTATGGAGTGTGGAGATTATAGACCATTTTAATTTTCTTCTTTATATTTACCTACTCAAAACCTTCATTTCTAAAGGCACAAACAAGACAGAAAAAGAATCACACATAATCCACCGCTGAGCTGAATCGAGATGATGGCAGTGGTTGGGGCAAAGCGTGTCTGGCGGGCACGCCTGTGCGGGAAACCCACCTGCTGGCTTGTCGTCTGCTTTTCCCACCTCCTCGGTGGAGGCTCCTCTCTGCGTCGTGATTTCTGATGTGTGAGGGCACTCGTGTGGGCAGGGCCCGAGGCCGCCCCCCCTCCATCCAGGACAGGCTGGTCCCCTGGCGAGAAGGTGGACACCCGGCCTGGTGTCCCCTCCCACTGACGGAGTGGCTGGCGGTGGGGCCACAGTCCTTTGGAGGTGACACAGCTTGTGCTGAGGCGCTCCGAGGAGCCTGTGCGCCCCCCCTGCCCCCCCCGGGGCCACATGTGAGCCAGGCTGGGAGGAGGAGCCACCAGCCTGCCAGCAGTGGGAGCTGTTGGGTGTGGGGACCCAGGCCCTGCCACCTACCTGCACGTGGCCTGGGCACGTGATTTCCTCTGTGGCCTCGGCGAACGGTGAAAAACGAGTTTAGTGTGTGGAGCGGACAAATCCCCCACATCAGTCACAGACACCAGGGTGCTAATGTGCCTGCTGCTACCCAGCCTGGGCGCTTGGGCCCCGGGGCCACGGCCAGGGTGCTCATTCATAGCAGCTGGGTGGCCGGTGGGATCCTGGGGGCCCCCTGCGCTGTTCAGGGGGCATAGAGGGTCCTAGGGGCGGCAGGGCAGGGGGTGGGGAGCAGGGTGGGGGAGCGGAGGGTGGCAGACAGGTCGGGGCGGCCTGTGGGCCGAGGCAGATGAATGTCCTCGCGGCATCAGAGCTGGCGTCTCGTCTTGCCTGAGGTCCTTGCGCAGCTCCGTCCCTCCGATGGATCCTTCCCCACAAGAGGGTGCAGTCAGGGTCTTCCTCCAGGGCCATGAGCTCCCGCAGGACGGACAGACCCTGTCCTACTATTCCATTCCGCGGCAGGGGCCCTAAGTGTGCCCCGCATGGTGGCCTCTGGGCTGGCGGGGCGAGGGCAGGGGGTTGGGGGGGGGCTCGAGTCCCAGGCCTTGGCTGCGGGCGCAGGGGTGGGGTGGCGTGTTCGCAGTCCTGGGGTCAAGTCAGGGCTCTGGGGAGGCGGTCTCCTGGGCGGGCAGCCCCCTGTGGCCCGAGCCCTACAGCTGCTCTGGAGGGAGGCTGGTGACAACCCTCTCCCTTTATACAGCTGTGTTTTTCATGCTGGTTCCCTGTGACCCCACCCAGAGCTGCTGTCACATATTGTCACGGGCGTCTGTGGCCGCCCCTCAGGGAAGAGCTTTGGACCTTGCTGTGCACATGGGGCAGAGGGTCCTGTTGGGGTCCCAGCCCCGTGACCCACTCCCACGTGACAGGACCCTCAGGGGCCCAGAAGGGGTGAACCTGCCCAGCCGGTTCTGCCGGCTGCAGCAGAGATTCCTGGGCTAGTGCTGCCCTCTAGTGCCCGCCAAGGGGAGTGCCTCTGGGGAGGCCACCTCCCGTCAGGGTGACACGGAGCCCCCTTCCCGGACTGGTGGGCTTCTTGCCCTTCTTTGTCATCGCCCCCCCCTTCCCTGGGGGTTCAGGGGAGGCTGGGTCTGGCTACTTGTCTTCCAGGTTCTCAGGTCCATATGCACTTGGGTTCTGACCTTTTTCAAAGCTTGGAGGGAGGCTGGTCTTTCTCCCTCAACTTTGGAGAATTTTATCTGACAAGAGGGACCCTTCCCCAGAGTCTGTCACTGACCCCTCCCTGCTTGTGATGGGCCACTGACCGCCTCGCTGGGTCCCCTTAACTCCTGGAACAAGAGGGGCCCACTCCAGCCTGTGGCTTCCTCACTGGGAAGAGCCTAGTTCCCACCCTCCTTTCAGATGCCTGTAGCAAACTCCCCTCCTTCCAGAAACTTCCAGGCTGGGTTTTGCAACCGAGGGTAACTTGGAGCTTCTCTCACCTGGGGCAGCGGCCATTCTGGCCAGGATTCCCACCTTGGATGACCGGTTCATTCGTGGCCCCACTGATAGCCACCAGGCCAGTGCTGGACTGTTCCGTGCACTACTCACAGTGGAGCCCGCCCCTGGTAGAGATTCTCCTGCTTGCTCCCAGGTGCACACCATGAAAGACACGCCCACACAGTTCACACCATGAAAGACACCCCCCGCACACAGTCTCACCCACCTTCGAGGGCCGCCGGCCACGTGGGTATCAGCTCTGAAGTAGCTGCGTCGATATGAAGCTGATGCCGGTGATTAAAAAGTCCCTGATTAGGGAAGCTTTGCTTTCTCGGGGCCCTTGGTTTGAAATTCGTGCTCTGGCTGCCGGTATTGCGTTGGCTTTGAGAACTAGGGCGCCTCTGTTTTTAATTAGTTGAAGTCATTTTGATTTTTGGTGCCAGTGCGGAGGGATGAGTTCGTTCCCAGGCTCCTCTGGGCCGTGGCTTAGCTGTGCGGGCCCTGCCTTTGTCTTCCCGGGGCCGTGGTATTTTTAGCACGTTCGGAACGACTCGCTCACGCTCTCTTGTCCTTTCCTCGCAGGTCTGACCGTCTTTCAGCTGCAGCCATGGGGTCTGAGGACCACGGGGCCCAGAACCCGAGCTGTAAGATCATGACGTTCCGCCCCACCATGGAAGAATTCAAGGACTTCAATAAATATGTGGCCTACATCGAGTCCCAGGGAGCCCACCGGGCGGGCCTGGCCAAGGTGGGTGACGCCCTGCGCCTGGCGTGGCTTCTCACCAGCTTCGGCCCCGTGGGTGCCCTGGGGCCCAGGGCCCGGCGTGACCGTGTCCGGGGCGGCCGGCACCCGCTCGTGTGTAGCCGACCCCATTTTCAACAGACCTTCTGGAGCCCTTCCTGTGGCCCGGAGTCAGGACGGAGTTCCGCAGCCCTTGTCCCCGTGGGACCGGATGGTGGGGACCAGCCCCAGGGGCTGCGGCACACGGCCACGGGCGGGCAGCGAGAGCCGGGAAGGCTTGTGGGGAGACACGCGCCGGGGCACCGTGTCTCTTTCCACGACAGGCTGTGTGCGCGCATGCGTGAGAGCGACACGCGAGGATGTCCGTGTTGCTTCTTACTATAAAGACCGCAGTTTGGTTGTGTCCGGAGGAGGCTGTGCACCAGGCACAGCTCAGCCGCTAATTTGGAAGATTCGCAACTGGTCTTGAGTTCTGGCTGCTGCCTGCGTGACCGCCTCTCAGCTGACATGCCTGCCTCTCGGTCCTTGAAACCAAGAGGTCCGTCCACCTTCACTGCAAAGAGCCAGACAGGAAGTGTTTTCAGCTTTGTGGGCGGGGCGTCCCACCACCCCGCTGTCGCCTTGGCAACCTATACGCCAGTGGGCGTGGCCCTGTGCCAATAAAACTTTACTTGGGGACACCCAGGTGTGAAGGCCGTGGGATTTTCACCTGTCCCGAAATATTTTTCTTTTGCTATTTTTTCCATTTAAAAGTGAAAAATCGCAATAACGACAAAAAACCCCCAACCTTCTCGACTCTGGGCTGTGCCAAGGGCAGAAATAGGCCCAGGGTGTGGTTTGCTGGCCGCAGCGAGGAGAGGGCTGCCTCCCCTTCCTGCCCCCACCTGGTGTTGGGTGGCTTTGGTCCGAGTGTCAGTCCCTCTGTGGTGAGGGCCACGCCTTTGGTCCCAGCCTAAGGACACGCGGAGAGCATTGTGCCCGCTGCGTCTCCTTCCCGCCGCCTGCTTGACTTTGTTCATGGTGCACGAGGCAGCATGGGCACCGCGTTTCATCCACGTCGGGGACCCGAATCCTCACCGTCCTCTGTTACTTCCGCTTCTCCTTTTAACTTCCTTCAGCTGGAAACGCTGGGCTCTGGGCGCTTACAGGTTGGGGGGGCTTTCTGCCCAGCTGGCCACCCTCGGGACAGTTTCCTGCCTGCCCTGCCCTGGGGGCCCCGGGTGGTGGGCGTGGGCCTCCCTCGTCTTGTCCCCCGTCCTCGGCCTGCGTGTGCTTCCCTGGGACGCCGGCCCTTCTGTTTCTGGTTCAAGGTGACCCTCATGCTGGGAGGTGTGGCGAGTTGCCGTGAGGCCCCGGAGGCTGTTGTCCCTGCTCGTTCCTTCTGGCTCAGTGACTCGGGCTCTACTTTCCCGACCGGCCCTGGGCCTGACCGTTTCCCGAGCTTTCTTCCCGAGCTTTCTTCCTGAGCTTGCTGTGGTGTCCACGGGCTCCTTGTCCACGATGTGGATGGACCGTGTCCACACCTCTGCCTTCCTTTGCTCTAGACTTTGCAGCCTCTGTGTCTTCCCTCTGCACCCCGGCAGCCCTGCTTTAAGCTCTCCTACTAGTGCCTCCCCTCCGCGCCTCGGCACCCCTGCTTTAAGCTCCTACCAGTGTGATGGAAGGAACCCGTTCGGACCAGATGTGTTGTGGGGCAGGTGGTTCTAGGCCTGTTTTCCCTCTGCCTTCTGTTTCTCTGCTCCTTCTCAGCTTTTTTTTTTTTTAATGTTTTATTTATTTCTAGGAGAGAGAGAGACAGCGTGAGCAGGGGAGGGTCAGAGAGAGAGGGAGATACAGAATCTGAAACAGGCTCCAGGCTCTGAGCTGGCAGTCAGCACGGAGCCCGACGCGGGGCTCGAACCCACGAACCGCGAGATCATGACCTAAGCGAAAGTCGGACGCTTAGCCGACTAAGCCACCCAGGCGCCCCCTTTTCAGCTTCTTAAGTGAGATTTTGTTTGCTGCTCTCTCTGACTGGTCACCTACACGCACAGGGAGGTGAGGGCGGTGTGGGGCAGACCTGGGCACGTGCCGAGAGACCTTGGCCATGGCACAGTCGCACCCACCGCACGTGCACACTCGCCCCGTCCCCTGCCTGCCAGCAACCGCGTGCTGGGGCTTTGAGTCTTTTGGGCTCCTCCCTGCCACTCCATGAGGATGGGTGGAAACCGGGAAGTGTTTTAATGTTTATTTATTTTATTTTTGAGATAGAGACAGTGCTAGGGGTGGAGGGGCAGAGAGAGAGAGTGAAAGAGAGGATCCCAAGAAGGCTCCACGTTGCCAGCACAGAGCCCGATGCGGGGCTTGATCCCATGAACCGTGAGATCATGACCTGAGCTGAAGTCAGGAGTTGGACACTTAAGCGGTGGCCCGGTTGGCTGCTGGCCTCTTTGGAGAAGAACCTGGTGTCCTGCCGCCGGAGGGCGCTCTGCAGGTGCCACTGTCCCCTCACCCTGGTCTCACAGAGATTTGAGGGTGTCCAGCCTCAGGCCGGAGGGCCCGCTCCGTCAGGTGCCTTTCCCAGAACCCGCTTCCTGTGTGTCCAGGCCCGTGAGGCTTGTACGTGTGACCAGAGCATCCCTCTCTGGGCTTCCCAGGTCTTCCCCGGCAGTCAGAATTTGGGAGTGATTTACGGACCTGAGTGGGTGGACTTCCGGGTCCACCTGGCGAACACAGTCTGGACCAGATGCAGAGCCCTGTTCCCGCAGGAGAAAGTCCAGGCCTCCTTGTCAAGAGGGGACGTGACCCACATGGTTCATGAGCCACTCGGGCTCATGGCCTCGTCCCCGGACCTGCTCCTCCGGACCACAGGCTCTTTGTCTGCATTTGTGGCGTCTCCAGCCTCCCGCGTGTTAGTTATTAGTCACCGCCTGACTCTGTTGGTTTCTCACTTGAAATCTAAGAAAACCATTGACAGGCAGGCTGAGCCCGGGCACCCCGGGCACTTAGTGCAGCCCTGGCCACACAGTAGGGGGACGGGACGTCCCCGGCAAAAGCCTAGATTGAGCAGCCGTGTCCCCACTCAAGGAAAACCAGGGTGGCCAGCCTTGGCATGGCTGACCTTGAGGTGGGTCATTCCTCTGGGGGCGTCCTGGGCACCGCGGGGGCCTGAGCAGTACCCCGCATCCTCACCAGGAGATCGTGACAGCCACAGGTGTCCCCAGACATCGCCTGGTACCATGTGGGGGCAGGGTCGCCCCGGGTGGGACCCACTGACCTCCTTTAACAACTGCTGTTACTTACTTGTGGTCCGTCAGTAAATCCAGGAGTGCTCACAGGGGAGGTGCACCGTTCTGCTGTTAATAGGTGACCAGGGAATAAGTGTGTCCGTTGCCAAGCAAAGCATTTTCTAGCACCGATGTGCATGGGGGAGGCTGCAGGGATGGTGCATGAGCCGCAGTGCCTTCCAGAAGCTGTCTGCAAGCCTGGGCATCGGTGTGCTGTTCCTCCCTTCCTGGCCCTCAGCTGGGTGAGGTTCTGGCCTCCCCAGAGCTCTTGGCTGGTGCCCTGAACGCAGGTTGGTTTAGTTCCTTTCCCCAAAGCTGTTGGGTGGCCCACTGGGCGTCCCGGAAGATTTGTTGTTTGCAAACACCTGCCCAGAATGAGGCGAGACCTGCCTGTGCTATCCCCAGGGACCTTCATGGAAGTGCACCTGGCACCCAGGAGGGGACGCAGGAGGGGACCCAGGAAGGGACCCAGGAGGGGTCCGGAGAGGGACAAGGAGGCCTTGGCCCAGAGCTGCAGTCCGCGCCTTTCCTCAGAGGCCACTCTCCAAGGTCTTGTTCCCCCAGATTCGGGATTCGTGGCATTATCACCCTCTTGCCATTGGCGCCTCACCAGCTCTTCCGCGTCTTTGCACGTGGGACTTGTCGCCTTTCTCCAGGCTCCTTATCTCTTCCAGTGTCCTGGCCCTGGGGTCCTGTGCTGCGGGGGCGGGAGGCCAGAGCAGCTGGGGGGGGGGGGTGTTAGGGTTAGAGTACACAGAAGGTTCCAGGTGCCCCTGCTGTGTGTGGCCTGGACATGCCCCCAGGGAGCTGCTGCTGGTGTCCTAGGGGAGGGCCCTGTGTCCGGGGCCAAGTCCGGAGGCGCTGCTGACTTCTCCTCTTTGTCTCGCAGATCATCCCCCCGAAGGAGTGGAAGCCGAGGCAGACGTACGACGACATCGACGACGTGGTCATCCCGGCCCCCATCCAGCAGGTGGTGACGGGCCAGTCGGGCCTCTTCACGCAGTACAACATCCAGAAGAAGGCCATGACGGTCGGGGAGTACCGCCGCCTGGCCAACAGCGAGAAGTACGCACTGGGACCCGGACGGGCGGGTGGGGTCCTCGCCCCCTGCACTCTCCACTCCCAAGCACCCTGTCCCTCAAGGGCAGGGCGTGCTGCCTTCTCCTGCCTCAGCCCCCCCACAGCACAGGCCTCTTGTAATTGCAGAGGGGAGGGAGGAGAGGACCCTCAGAGCCGCTGCCACCGGCAGGTGGCTGATGGGGCGGGACAGCCCCTCCCCCATGCACTCAGCCTCCTCTCCCCCACCCCCCACCCCTGCCCTGTGTTCTCACGCCCCACGGCCACCTTGAGGGTGCTGCTTGTCCCGCAGGTACTGCACCCCGCGGCACCAGGACTTTGACGACCTAGAGCGCAAGTACTGGAAGAACCTCACCTTCGTGTCTCCCATCTACGGGGCTGACATCAGTGGCTCCCTGTACGATGACGTGAGTGCCGGCCCCCCCCCCAGAGGCTCTGGGGGGGTGGGGCACCCCGTTTCCTGGCGAACAGGGGAGGGAAAGGCGCTGGCAGGGGACTTTATCTTGAATCGTGGGTGCGAAGACGCCGCGGCAGGCTTGGGAGGGGGGAAGGGATCTGGGTGCTCCCTGTGTGCAGAACCTTCCTCCAGAACCAGCCCCTCCTGCCCGATGGGATGCCCTGTCCTTGCAGTGGGGTCTAAGCGGCCCTGTCACTCCGGGGCCGTCCAGAAAGGACACTGAACATCTCCCTTCCACCAGGCGCCTCCTAACCCCCAGTTCTTCTAGTGCTTTTCCTCTTGACTTCCTAGTGCTCCATCATCCAGGAAACCTGGAGATGTTCTAGCCCCTGCGTGGGTGGGGAGGGCCCTGGGGGCACCTGGGACAAAGGGAGGGGAGGCTCTCCTGGCCATGGCCTGTCCAGGGCTGTAGACCAGACCCTGGGGGAGCCGTGGTACAGAGGCCCCCAGAAGAGCTGCTTAGCGCAACGGGTTTGCGCAGGACCCACCCTTTTCCAGGGGACAGTTTATTAGTATTCACGGGACCTCCAGGAGCCCTGGGATGGCTCCACTGGGCTGATGCCCAGGCTCTGGAGCCCACCTGTCCCCGGGACCTGCCCTGCCACGGGGCTCTGCCCGCCGTGTCTGCCCCGCCCCAGATCGCCTCTCCAAAGGTCCCTTCTTCCCACACGCTTCATCTGCTCAGTGGTGCTCCCTGTGAGGGCAGCTGGGGGCTGGCGGCGCCTCCTGAGTCCTGGGCTTGGGTCCCAGCTGGCGCGGGTGGGAAGAAAGCCCCCTCCTGAGAAGGGTCAGGACCTTCCCGAACCCGTTAGGACAGGGGGTGACCTAGAGTCCCCAAAGGCGTTGGGAAGATGTGAGTGTCGCATGGGTCCCGGCAGTGTGCCCACCTTGGGGAGCCTGTCTGACCTGTGGCCCGCTGGCCTTCCAGCCCGGGGGGGCCTGCCCCTCCAAGCTGGGCGCCAGGGCTGCATAGGCTCCAACTGAGCTCACCCCCAGGAACCCAAGGGAGCTGCCCTCGTCTCGGGAGGTCAGGGACCGAGCTTGCTCCTTGCCATGGTCCCCCCTTCTTGGACCTCGATGTCCCACATCTAGTGGCTGGTCCTGTGGCCAGCGCGTCCTGGATGAGGAGATTGGGCCTCTCCCTGGGATACTGAGCTCATCCGCTTGGCCTTGACCCCAAAGCAATGGCAAGCTCGTGAGGCCACGTGGCCAGGCCTGAGGGCAAAGCTGGGTGCACCTGTGGGGGTGGGAGGGCAGCAGTGCAGGGTCCCAGAGGCCCTGTGGGCACACGCGCGTTAGAAAAAATGATTAGTTTTTACATTTATATCCAAGTTAGTTAGCATCTAGTGCCGTAGGTTTCAGGAGTAGGCCCGGTGATTCATCCCCCTACGTGTAGCACCCAGTGCTCCCGACAGGTGTCCCCAGTACCCCTCACCCATCTAGCCTCCCCCACAGCCCCTCCAGCAACCCTCAGTTCTCTGTATTTAAGAGTCTCTTATGTTTTGTTTTCCTCCCTGTTTTTTTATTATTTTTGCTTCTCTTCCCTTCCGTTCATCTGTTTCGTATCTTAAAGTCCACATGCGTGAAGTCATGGGATATGTTTTTTCCTGACTGGCTAATTTCACATAGTCACAAATGACAAGATTTCAATCTTTTTTATTGCCAAGTAGTACTCCTTTGTGTATATACCCATCTTCTTTACCCATTCATCCGTCGATGGACACGGCCTCTTTCCCTACCTTGGCTCTTGTTGATAGCGCTGCTGTAAACTTTGGGGTGCATGTGCCCCTTCAAACCAGTGCACCTGTATCCCTTGGGTAAATTCCTAGCAGTGCTATTGCTGGGTACTAGGGGAGTTCTAGTGTTCATTTTTTGAGGAACCTCCACACTGTTTTCCAGAGCGGCTGCACCAGTTTGCAGCCCAACCAATAGTGCAAAAACATTCCCCTTTTCTCCGCATCCTTGCCAACACCTACTGTTGCCTGTGTTGTTAATTTTAGCCATTCCGACAGGTGTGAGGTGGTCTTGCACTATGGTTTTGATTTGTGTTTCCCTGATGATGAGTGACATTGAGCATTTTTTCCTGTGTCTGTTCACAATTTGGGTGTCTGCTGTGGAAAAACGTCTGTTCCCAGCATGGCTTTTGCCTCCCGTGATTAACACCCAGCTCGGTGTGGACTCTGGAGAAAGTCCTGCCTGACCACCGGGGCCCCCAGTGGCCTTCAGACACTGGTGTGGGGGAGGCTCCAAGCTGGGCAAGTTTAGGGTTGACTGCTGGCTCTTGGGCCGTCTAGGGGGCTGCGCTGTAGCCTCCCTGGGCTCCCGCTGGTGGCCGGGGGCGGCCACGGCCCAGGGGAGGGGGGGCGCCGAGTGCATGCTCACCCGCGTGCTGGCCGCCCTGCAGGACGTGGCCCAGTGGAACATCGGGAGCCTGCGGACCATCCTGGACATGGTGGAGCGCGAGTGCGGCACCATCATCGAGGGTGTCAACACCCCCTACCTGTACTTCGGCATGTGGAAGACCACCTTCGCCTGGCACACGGAGGACATGGACCTGTACAGCATCAACTACCTGCACTTCGGGGAGCCCAAGTCCTGGTGAGCGGCCGCGGGGAGGGGCCACAGGGAGGGGCCACGCATCGGCTCTCCCAGGGGCACACGGCTGTGTGGGTGCCTTTGGGGTGGCCCCCCGGGGACATGGCTGGGCCTGTGGCTGGGCAGGCAGAGGCTGAAGGGTATCTGGCCCAGTTGGCTTGAGGGGCAGTCTCGGTTGGTGACAAGGGGATGCGCGTCCCCAGAAACGAGCTTCCTGCCCCCCCCGCCCCCCCCACCTGTGGGGGCGGCATCCATGATGTGTCTGCTGTGTGAGGCTCTTCTGGGGCCATGGACCTGGCAGGGTGGCTGTGAGCACTGAGCCCCCCCGCCCCCGCCCTGCGGCTCCAGGCCCCCTGCTGTCAGGGGTGTGGTTCCCCCCAGTGGCTTGCAGGGCTGGGCGGTCGCATGCACCCACAGCCCACCCTGTGAGCCACGGGCCCTGCAGGCTGGGCTGAACGTCCAGCGATCGGTGTCCCGGAGTCTCCCAGAGTCTCTTCTGCCGGCAGCAGGACAGCCAGAGCTGCCCTCTGTGCAAGGCTGTCTTTGTTCACTGTTGCTTCCGGCAGAGGCTTCGGAGCTGGGGCTTTACCTCTTCCTGCCCCTTCCCAGCTGTCTGAGAAGGTTCTGTTGTTCCCTTACAGTCATCAGCACAGCTTAGAGGGCACTGGGGGCAGGGCGGGGAGAGCAGGAGCCCCAGGAGCAGATCACGGCTCAGGAGCTCAGCCAAGTGTTTGTGTGTGGAGACCGCAGGGGCGGGTGGAGGGGTGCATAGCCTGGCTGGGGACCCTGGCCAAGGCGCCCTTTCCTGTGGTGTCCCAGCTGACAGCTGAGCCCTGAGCAGCTGAGCCTGCGCCCACAGGCATCGGGGGGAGGTCACCCCCGTTCCTTTAAGTCGACGGGACAGCCTGGAGCCCTTGGCCAGGCGGTGGAGCAGGCGCCCCGAGCAGAAGGCTCAGCGGGGGGGGGGGGGGGGGGGGGGGTTCCCATTCCAGGTGGCCGCTGCGTGGCCGCCCTCCCTGTCCTGACTTACGATGCAGACAGGGATCCAGCTCTGCTATCGGGCCGCGGGCTCCTGTTACGATGGGGGGGGGGGAGGGGAGGACGCGTCAGGGATGGATGTGCCCTGGGTTTGGTGTCAGGTTCCTGGGGCGGCTGTAACAGATGAGTACCAAGAACTTCACGCGACACATGTGCATTCTCTGACGCTTTTGGAGGTCAGGAGTCTGACCTCAGGTCCCATCGGGCTGCACTTAGGCACCCAGGCCTGGATGGGCTGGTTCCCTCCCCCAGGCTCCAGGGAGTCCCGCCGGACTCTTGCCTTGTCCGGCGTCAGTGGGCTGGCCCGCGGCCCCTCCTCCATCCTCACCACCAGCAGCGCGGGGTCCCTGCCTCCGACCCTCTGTCCCCCTCGTGTGACGACCTTATGGGGACGCTGGACCCCCGGACACCCAGGGTCACCCCCTCCCTCGGGGGCCTTGGCTCAGTCCCATCTGTCAAGTCCCTGTTCTGGTGAGGCACCATGCTCATGGTTCTGGTGATTTAAGATGTGGACATCTTTGGGGGCCCCGTCCTGCCGTCCACGGGCCCTCTGACCCATGCTGTGCGCTGCATCGTGTTACCTCGGGTATTTGCTGGGATCCTGTTATAATTCCACGGGCTCCTTGCTTTCAGTCCATTCGTCTCTGTGGCATTCTGTGGCTTTGCATCAGCTCCTGCTCGTTGCAGCCTCTATTCCGGAAGAGCCTGGAGAGGAGACGGATGGGGGGTGCTGTCCATTTCACAAAGGCCTGAATTTCACAGCCCGTGTGGCTCTGAGTGCGTTGGTGGAGGCATTTCCTGGTGGGCAGTTTCATCCCTGGGCCGCCCAGGGGGGTCCTGGGGAGGCTCAGTTACCTCATCTCCTCCCCTCCACCCCCGCCATGGAGGCCCCAGTCTAGGCCCATGGAGAGGGGCTAGGCTCTGCCCCCACGACTGCTTGTGGGGTGAGGTGCATGCACCCGTTCCTTCCCTGGGGCTCTGCCTGCTGCTCTGGGCAGCTGATGTGCTCCCTGGGGGCCATAGCAGGCTGAGCGCTCTCCAGACTCCACGTGCAGACCCCGGGCTGGGGCTGTGCGCACGTGTGCGTGTGTATGTTTGCATGTGAGTGTGAGGACATGTGAATCGTGTTTGTGAGTGCGCATATGCGTACATGACAGTATACATGTGTACCTGTGCTTACGTATTTGTGTGTGAAGGTATATGAGTGTGTGTCTGTGAGCATGGGTGTGTGTGTGCATGAGTTCCACGTGTGAGCGTGTACATAAGTGTGCAGCCGTGCGTCTGCGTTGTATGAGTCTGAGCGCCGCAGCCCCAGCTCACTGGCACCGATGGTTCCAGTTTGGGGATCTCAGTCCTGGCCCCGTGTGGCACCCCAAAGCGCCACTAGATGGCGCTCTCACCCTTCTGCACTGGCTGCCCCTCTTGGAGCCCATGGAAATTTCCCAGCTTCTTTCCTCCTTTTTTGGGGCTCCTGGCCCAGCAGCGATCCCCCAGAGGCTCCCTGGGAGCAGCGGCAGGAGGAGAGCGAACCCTGCGGGGTGGGCATCGGGAGTGCTCCGCCCCCTACAGACGTCTGGGCCTGGGATCTATGCCTAAAGGGATCGGACAGGGAGAAAAGCCACCTTTTCCTTAAAAGCCAGAACAAAACCAATAAAAGGAGCTACACGTGGGTCCTGGCATGAGCTGGTGGCCCTGCCTGAGGCTAGGGTGGCCTTGCCTGACTGGGGGGCGAAGCATGCAGTGGGCAGCAAGGGTCACAGGGAGGTTGGTTTGGGAAGTGCCTGTGGAGCCCAGGGAGATGGCGGGGGCTTCACGAGCTGTCGGTGGGTGGGCACTGGACTTGGGGGTAGCAGCCCCTGGCCGATGGGCGGCCAACATGCAGGACTGACTGACACCCGGCTCTTCACACTCGCTCCCCATCTCTAGTGGCTTGGGGTTCCCCAGGCCACAGCCCAGCACATCATCCTCTGCTGACCCCCCTCTGTTTCTACCCCTCTGCCATGACCCAGTCCCGAGAGCCCTGGGCAGCAGTCAGCAAGGCTGGCATTGGGCACAGCAGGAGTTCATCTCAGGGAAAGAATGTTCTGGAAGGCAGCTTGACCTTGGTCTTGGTTTCTGGTGCTGAAGGGGATTAGGATTGCACATGGAGGTCCCTCACACTGAGTATAGCCGGTGGATGTGCTCAAGGTGCAGCCGTGTATGATCTGGCTCCCGGGGCTTCGTGCCCCCGCCCTCTGCCAAGTTTCCTGCTTCCCCAGCCAGGGCAGCTCAGCTCAGCAACCGTGGTGGGCACCCTCCCCGCCCTCTCGCCGTCTCCCTGGGACTGGGTGGGGGCCCTGGATGTCGGCAGGGCACCCCCACACTTGTACTAGCTACATCTGACACTGGTGCACCTCCCCACCAGGTGTGGACCCCGTGAGGGCAGGGCCCTCCGTCTCCTCTGGGTGCCCAGCCCCCACCCAGAGCCCAGCACAGAGAGGGGTCTCAGTGCCTCTCCGGGGATCTCGGTGCTGGGGCCATGGTGGCCCCTTTCCGTCTCCGTGGGAGCTGGTCCTCCAGGCGAGATCCCTCTCGGCCTCCCCAGACACCGGCCCGTGGGGTCGGCGCAGTGCCTCTGGCCCCTGGGCTGGTGGTCACGCTGCTCGGTGGCCCCCAGGAGGGCAGTGCCCCTGCTCGGAGCCCGGGGATGCTGCCCCTGGCGTGTGAGCACCTGTCTCCCTGATTGAGCATGTGTGCGCACGTCAGCAGCAGCTTAATTGCAACCATTTCCGAGTATTTCAGTTTTTTTTTTTTTTTTTTTAAGTGTCGACTTACTCAGGTTTACGGTGTCTCATGAAGCCTTTCTGGGTCTGCTGCTACTTCAGTGGTGTGACTTGTGTGTCACTGTCGCACCAACAGCCTGCTGCCGATAAAAGTACGGAACTGCCTTAAAGGGCCAGCATTAGGTGGTGCTGTCAGGCCGCAAGGCTAAGAATATCTGAAGCGTTTGAGCACCTCAAAATCCCTTTCGAGATGGGGATTTAAAATAGACCCGGCGCTCGCAAGCCACCTCCTGCCTGGTGGCCCTGGGGCCTGCTCAGTCAGCGGTGAGGCCAGGAAGGGTGGGCATGGGCGTGCAGGGCAGTGCCCAGGGGGCTCGGTGTCCAGAGAGCGGGACCACCATCCCAGCCGGATGCCTGCCCTCGTGGCAGTGTAGCTGGAGGCAATGCCCTGGGGCCACTGCAGCAGACTCCCCCCCCCCCCCCCCCCCCCCCCCCCCCCGCCATTCAGAGCGATCTGGTCCCTGTGGGTCCTGAGCCTTGTGAGCTTGCAAGCAGGGAGCTGTGAGGTCCGTGGGTGACATGCCTGCCCAGCCCAGGGTCTGTCGCTCAGATGCAGGACTGCACACGGCACAGCGATTCTTAACTGTGTGGCCTCCCACTGCTCCCCTGCCCTCGCTCGCTCTCCTGTGGGGCAGGGGGCGGGAAGGGGCGGGGAGGGAGAGCAGGCGGCGGAGGGTATGACTCCCAGAGGTGTACTCGGGCCCCTGGGCTGGGACAGCCAGCGCTCCCCCCCAGTGTCTGGTCCCTGACCTTGGCCTCTGGGCCCTGAGCCGTGGTTCTGGAGCCACCCACACAGTCCCTCCCACCCTCCTGCTCCTCTTGGCTGGGGTTCTGTCTCTCGGGTCGTCCCCGTGCGCCATGGCGGGGGGAGGGGGGCACGTGTCCTCTGAGCCGCACACGGGCCCACATTCACCGTGTCTGCACACGTGCGGTGCACACACGCACATTCCCTCGTGCACACGTGTGCACACCCACACAGACTCCACGGGGGGGAGGGCCTCTCGGATCGTGCTCCCACAAAGGGCACAGCCCTGGGTGCAGTGAGTGGACCCTGCCAAGTAGAGTCAGCAGGGGTGAGGGCAGGGGTGGGGGTGGTACGAGAACTCACTTTTTCTCTGACCTTTAAGAAGCCTGAGTGAGCAG